TTTGTGTCAGCACGAATGATGGGGTGTGGAGGTGACACTTTGTCTTCCATAAACTTATAGCAACGTCACACTAACGGATTACGCCGACATTAGTGGCACCCATTGAAAACAAGCTTCTATAGTTGGTGGGGGTGGCGGCCATGCCAAGCGACAAGGCAAAGGATGGCTGGAGTGATGACCTAATATATAAAGGTGACTGTGGCTGTTTGCTATGACGTATCATCTAGTAATTTTCCGTTCGAATAACTGGACATGAAAATGCTCACATTCAGTTGGGGATAAATTGACCACGAATTGTCGCACTTCAGAAGATTAGGGTCTTGTATATACGAGATGTAGTTTTTTAACACCCGTATGACCTTGAACAGAAACTTCAGGAAAACTTCCCATGGGCATGCACAGTGACAGGAACAATGATGTTCTGAACTTGTTGGATGATCTCAGTATGGGAGTAAATCTCAATGTTTTTGAGTTGCAGTCCTGCCCAAATCAAATCGACGAAGTTAAAAATGCGGCTCGTCACTATGTTGCGCCCCTCTGTTTTTAGGATTTACTACCCGTAGACGGTAAAGAGCTTTGGGACAGATCACACCATTTTAGTTCTGTTCTGACTTCCATTTGATATTAGTTCTAACTAGGTAAGTCCCACTTGGCACCCTCAGCCACGTCTCTCATTTTTAGATCTCATAGCCAGTTGGCAGGTTTTGTTACGTATTGGCGACAGCTGAAATTGCTGAAATCAGCGCCATTTCCAGCGGCATTGAGCGGTTATAAGCGAAGGCACGTAAGCCAGCTTGTCTTTTGCCTTGCAAACGTATATAAGTCCATCCAGCCATGTATGACAATGACACTCCTCTCATGCAACGTCATTTGAACATCTGCCAAGGTTTCCTTCCGACCATCAGCTTAAACCTGTGTGGTATTGTTCGCAATAACGCTTGCTGTGCCACGAGTTCGGTCCCGACCTTAAAATGTTGTGAATAATGTGGTTTATGTCCATTATGCGTCCAGCATTCATCGTTAAATTGTCAATCATATTGATTCGTTGCTGGTTTAGGCTTTTAATAAATACGATCCTTTTGTTAGCTCGTATGTTTCTGTGGTACGAAATCATTTCAACTTTATGCTGTTTGCTGTATAGGTGAACTGATGTGTTCTCTAAGTTCAGCACTTATATCTCTATAAAATCTTCGAATACTAAAGCGCTTAATTTCGTCATTGCCCAGGCTGTTTTTGAACATGTCGGTTAATGAGCAAGTGTCATTCGTAATGGTATCAGTTTACGCCTAATTGATCCCCGGATCGAGTATAGACACTTAATCTACTTCATGTTTAATGATTGGCATC